CAACTGCTCGGTAACCACATACGATGTTCAGCTTGTGGTATCCAAGCAGGCCACTGACATAATCCCTGAATTTTAGATCAAAATACGATGAGTGAAGAGCAAAATCCTTCTGTTTTGCAACCCAGTTGTGAATGGGCGCGCTTGGGCGCTGTAAAATTCTCTCTCATCCATCCAGGTTAGTTGTGGTGGTGTTAACATACAGGGCTAGGCATTATCAGAGGCGCAGGTGTTCCACCATTTAAGAGAGAGTATGGGAGGGTGTGGAAGCGTTTCTAGCCCTCTTCCTACCTCCGTAATGCTTTCTTCCTCTCCTAATTAATTCTTTCCCCTGCCAGCTCACCAAGTGTCCTCGGAGAGGCATTTAATTGGCACAGAAGCACAGCAGCTCCGTGACCCTCCCCGCAAACACTCGCGGCCAAGAACAGAAGCGGCTCCCCTACCTTCCTGCGTCTGCTGCGGCGGTGGAGACTCCGCGGTGGAGGTCAGGGTGTCGCCCCCCGACGCAGGCCCCAGTGGTGCCATCACCTCATTTTTAATAAAAGTGCCCCTGCCAAAGGTAGATTTGAGTTAGGAGTTTGTGTATATCAGTCACGTAACTGTAAAAATAGTCATCTTTTCTGTAATATGACTGCAAATATCGTTTCCCGAGCCAGTAATTTTGACCATATGTCTCTTTACTAGCTCTCCCTTCTCTCTCACTCAAATATAATGTACTTGATTTGCTTTCAAGGTCGTTGTTTGTCTACCTCACCTATGATTCATTATTTAGATGACAACTCTCACCAATCCCCGACACCAACTTCCACCACCCACGTGTTAAATTTTTGGATAAATAGCTCTATGTTTTCTTTCATTCTGCCTCTTGGATGTGGGAAAAGAGATTTTCTGGAGTCTCCAGTAACTCAATTTGGAAGCTGGCACACCAAATCTTGTACTTGCCATATTGATTGTTAATGCCTCATTATTTCTTTGTACTTCTCCATTCTCTGTCTGTTCACTGCCTGCTCATCATGCGTTTAAATGGCAATCTTTTTTTGTTTTGTGTTTTTACAGCATCTAACACAATATGTTCTTGTCCATGATTATAGCTCCTAAGTGTTATGGCAATACAGTGAATAAGTTGTAACTACAGAAGTGTAATTATTCCCCAAACAAGTATTATAAACACTAAGAAACTGAGATTAAATTTAGTTTTTAAAGAAATTCAAACATGTTAGTATGAAAATAACACAACTAAACACCCCAGTAACGTTGGTTCTGCCAAGCAATGCTATCATGCAATAGCTGTACAATTATATTGCATTACATTGTTGATAGCCCTGGTAGAATTAAGCTGGTTTTTGAAGATGTATTCCTTTTATTTTTCATGCTTTTCTACCTGGTCCGTCAGTTGGGTGGAGTTGAGATTGCTTGCGCATTTCCATATATTGTTTGGATTTCTTTCTGTACTTTTACATGAAAATTTAACGTGGTTTTAAAGTTTTAAATACATGAAAGACTTAAAACTATAGAGCAAGGTGAACGGCATTCGTTACATGCTTATTCCAGCTGGTTGCTGAAGGATACATGTGGGAGGAAGAAAGGAAACAATTTGAAAGAAAAGGGGTTGGGTTTTCTGTTTTGTTTACGGGTTTTTTTTAGTCATCAACCTCTGGGCTTGCTTGACAGTAACTATGAATAAGCTGTCTCTGTATGTAAGAAGAAATGTATCAGTGTTTTCTGGTCTCTCTTAAGTCTTTTACTGTTACTCTGCACTTGCCATGTTTTTGCTAGGGAGTTGAGAAAGCAAAGCATGCGTAATTCAGTCATGTAGAATTTTGGGGTGGTGGATGCACGTGATCAGACCCACAGGTAGCTGCAAAGACCAGAGCTAATAGAAATGGATTTTTCTGATGGGCCCTCTCTGGCTTAAAAAGAGTGCTTAGCCTTCCTGAAAACTGAAATTTTTCATATTTTTCTATGTGACTATTTGGAAATACTTCCCCAAACTGCAAACTAATCTTTAACTTGCATGTGCTTTCTCAACTTTCATTAGCAGGAAGAATAAGTTACTTGTTTTATCTCTCTTCAAATAAATGTTGTTTAGACTCTTTGATGCAGTTATTGAATCAAAGTTACCAATTTTCTGTCGTAATGATTTTTTATTTTTGTAGCTCCTATAAAATATGTAAGAATACCTGTTATTATGTGATATCCTTCCATTACCGAAATAATTGTCTAGATACAGGATAGGAGCTAATTTTACTATCTTTTATGTTACAGAGTATTATAACTTCCACAAACTTTTGAAGATTTCTGTCTCACTGTTTCTCTGGCTACTGGTCTAACCCATAGCCATAGTTTACTGTAAAGTCAGTGCCCCACTGTTACATAGAGTCAGTTTTATACTCTTTAGTTTCACTTACAGAACCCAACATAGCCTGAGTATGAAATGCTGCCTTAACTGTGGTTATATTGTCTTCCAGCAACTGTAAAGGGAAATCAAGATCCCCTCTTTGTGTCTCTTGATCTCCACCAGACTTGAAGAACCTGTAGTTCTTAGAGCTGGAGGTATGTTTGCTTTATGTTTCATGTATTTGCTCTTTCTACCCTACCAAGTGTCTGCATGAGGCAGGCGCTGTAACAGACCAGAAATTTGAAACCATTTCTCTTATTGTAGTTTCCACAAGTGGCTATAATAATGTCTGTAATATGAAGTAATTAAGCGATTGGTAGTCGTACTGTTGAGCCAAACGGAGGGCCATAGATGTCATCTGCTGCAGAAGTATTGAGGGACAAGTAACGGATTCCTGTAGGTGTCCGTGAAATTCCGCAAAGAGCAATATTATTAATTCAGTTAAGATGTAAGAGGTAAATGGTTTGGACACAATATCGCATGATTTATCGCGCATTTCTTCTAGTTTCACCAGTCTATATTATGCCCATCCTCAGTTGCATCGACAGGAGTAATTCCCCAATAAAAGACAAAAAAGAAGTCAGTTTTGTTGAGTAGTAAAACACAGTCCTAGCTCAATCTTTGACATGTTCATAAAAATGAAAGGAACTCCAGATTACCTCTCTGCAGAAATTTAAAATAAAAATATCCCAGAAGTATTTAGCAACCAAAGGATGATGAGTGAAAGGTAAGCTTCATAGTTTTTAATTTTATGTGTTACACTGTTTCACTAAGTATAGATTTGTATATGTTTCTAACACTTTATTAACTATTTTAACTTAGTTTGCAAAATAAATTAATGTAATTCTTCATAATGTATATTTATGGCCCAAACTCTTCCCCTAGAAGTCTCATTTTATCTTTACATCTCCAAAGTAGCCTGCTCTCGTTAACTTCTTAGCAGTTCTGTTCTCAGTATGGACATACTGTGATTTTTACACACAGCAAAGTTAGCTCACGAAATCAAATAGAATAGCAGCTTTAAATTAATCGATTATAGCTAGGTTATTCTGCAGACGAGGAAACTTCCCAATTCATTGTATGTCGGTGGAATGAGAAAATTAAATGATTGTGACGTTTCTTAGCCAAGATCTAGAGGAGAAAAATGCCTTCTGTTTATGGCACAGATCGGGAATTCTAAGCTGTCGCCTGAGTTTGTGGCAGGTTTGCCCTACATCCCTCGGCAAATCTCTCAATCTATCTTGTTCTTCAATTCCTTAGTCATTAAATGGAAATAATAATTCCTCCCTTTCTCAGAAGAGTGTTTTTGGAGATAAAATCTGTTGATGACTGAGAACCTCAGGTATTGTGGTATCAAGGGTTATATAGAAATCATTATAAAAGCCAACCTGAGGGCTTCCTTTATCCCTACAAAATGCACAGAATCCACCGTGTGTCAAGAGTCCCCTAAACATGCATTTTCCAGGTATGAGGTAGATGAACTCTTACTTCTCTCATCCAGGCCTGCCTTGCTGTGTTGAAATAAGATACCGGAACGTTCACAGCATTTATGATGATGCTCATTTATGAAAATGTATAGATTTGAATTTAAGATTTTTAGGCACAAAGATTAAAGGCAGACATATTAAAGAGTTGCCCAATTTAATTTAGAGGGAGCTGCGGGTGCTCAGCACCTCTCTGATAATGAAGATCTGGTTGTTTACTTGTTCCATTATACTCCTTTCACCATCTATCTAATCCTATCACATAATTGTCCACAGAAAATACGCAGACGCTTGGTTTCTTTACTGTTTTGTATAATTGGGGATAGTGTCACCATGCAGTGAAAAGAACCACAGAATGCTGTTTTTCAAAGGCATATGCTCAAATTTGCAAAACATTTTCTCACTGGGTCAGGAATGAATAGTAAGATTATTCTGCCTATTTGTTTTCCTATTTATGGATAGTGGCTATTTGGGTTATATAGTGATGATAGCTTTGGGACTGTTAAATACTATGCAACTACTTTAGTGAAAGAAACATAAAAGTGCCCCTTTGCAATACACAGTTTTTGGCTGTATGTCCAGGTCAGTAAGATACAGAAACTACTAAAGCAACCAGACTTTTATAAACTAATTTCACAGATAGTCTTTGGAGAATAGCAGGGTGGAACAGAAATTAAAGATACCCATTTATATAACTGGAAATAAAAAATGGTATAATCAGTGTCAGTTTTCAAGTACTAATGGTAATGAGCAGATGGGACTGTTTTCATAAAGGAAAAGCATTTTTTCCCCAAACTGAGTGCAAACGAACCTTTCCTGTCACCTTTTTTTGCTAGTACATCGTATTTCCCAAAAAGGTGTTATATATTGATTAGCCAGCATGTCTTTAATTCTTTGATTTTAAAAAAAATTATTAGTGGAAGTTAAAGAAAATACCCTCTAGACAGCTCATAAATGAGAAATTTCAGCTTTATGCTGGATGATAGAGCTTCTGTAATTATTATCTCCATCCTTGCTTGTAAAAATGCCTTAAGTTAAAAAAAGCAACAAAACAAAACAAACAATTTGCCTTTCAGTTTCATTTTTTGACTTGGGAAGTTGCAAGTAATTTTTGTCTTCCTTTCCTAATGGAGGTTTCTTTAGCAGTAGAGGTAGCAAATAGAAGTTTGCAAACCGCATTTGTGTGTTTGAGGTACTTGCTTGTTGTGGTGACAGCTTCAGTCTTAGAGTGTCAATACTTGAATACCAGTGGAGGTCAGATTGTTTTTAACCTGAATTTCTCCAGCAGTATCTGTCTCAGGGAATGAGTGTCCATGTGCTCATCTTAACCACAGCCACACTTAATGAATTGACTATTACTTATGCAGTTTTATGTGGTGTTATTTTCCTTTAGCTTCTTTATTTTATCATCTAGTTGACAGAAATTGTCCTTTCTTTTTGGTATAACAGAGAAAGAATTCTGTCTCATCTGTACAGCAAGATATATTGAGTTTTTAATCTTGTTATGGCCAACAAAATAATTTTCTGAAAATAATTCCCGTGGAATCTCCTAATTGTGTCTGAATTATCATTCTTTGTTATGTAAGGGCATATATTTTAAATGTTTATGGACAACTGAATTAGGAAAAAAAATTGGAATGCACAGTTGTTAATTGACTAACTCTTTATTTAGATTTCTTGTACTTCCTGATACATGGAGTAGAGCCAGGTTTTGTTAGAATTGCGGTGGTGTATAATGGAGCAACAGATGATCACCTGAGCTTAAGAAAAATATTTATCAGAAGAGAAATTATCATCTAACTTAAGGGAAAATATTTTAAAGAAGGAATCCTGGCATATAGAATCCTTTTTCACACAGAAGCTGGTACTCCCACGTGTTGTTTTCTTTTTCAGCTGAGTCTGAGCTTTCTGTTGGAAAAGTTGGGCTGGTATTTTTGCTGTACGGTATCTTTGACTGACAGCTCAGAAATGTCTCCATTTGTCATATAGGAGCAGCATAATCCATTTCTGAGGATACCAGACCTTCTGTCAGTAAGAAATAATACTGTAACTTCACTATTACTTTTTTTTTTTTTAAAGAAATGTGGCCAATTTCCATTGCAGAATAAGTGCCAGCTTAGGGTGATGTTTCAGTCTTCTTCAAACAATAAATTTCTGTGGTAACTGCAGTGGTCAGTGCATGGAAAAGTGCCTTTGCTCCTCGCTGTATGGAGCCATTTTTACGCATTTGCAGGAAAGCATGATAGTGGCTTTGCACATGTTTCTCTTTCTTACACACTATTATCTAAATACAGGTAGCCCATGCAAGGTAGTAAAGGGGTGTTTTATGTCTCTTCACTCTATGGAACAGGGAATGATACAGGTTATAGTAAAGGACACCACTCCAAAAAACTTCCCATTCTAAAGCACAAATGCCTACAAAGAAGCAAACTAATTGTGTGGAGCTCTGCAAGAAAGCATAGGGTGAAGCAAAGAACAGAGCTCCTCTCTGCTTGCGTTGCAAAGGGGGTGTCTGCATCAGCGTTTTAGGTTTAAGAGCTCACTTTTGAAGAGGACTGAACGTCTTGGAGCATGCAAACTGAATTCCTTTTTGATGAATCTAAACCAGAAGATGCATTCCAGGAGTACAATCATTAGTGTTTTAGTTTGGATTAGAAGTTAACTTTTAAAATTAATTTATCATTTGTTCCTACTCACCTACTTTGATTTGCAATGTGTAGCAGTCTTGGAGTGCGCAAACTGAATTCCTTTCAGATGAAATTAGATCAAAAGCTGTGGTACAACAGCACGATGATGGATTATCTGTTCATTGAACCAGCCGAGAACTGCTGTCAGGTAAACTACAAAATGCATGTAGAGTGGACATCAAGTTTTCCACACCAACTCTTTGTCCTCCAGATCTGCTCTACTGTTCTGTATTTCTTGCTAATGCAGACATAGCTGTAATGCACTCCAGCTGCTAATGAATAGTCAATCTACGGGACCAAATTAAAGTTAGTATAAAGTAAAACCCTGTAAATCCATGTAGTATGAACTTCATGTCCTCAGCACTGTGTCTTTTCATGTGGTGCTGCACTGCTTGATGCAGAAGATAGCTAGTGGTAGAACATTTCAGGCTAGCAGGTAGCCTCAGAGGGATAAATAAGGAGTAAACAAGACAAATCAAATTTTTGCTGTGGATAAGCTGAAACCTTTGCTCTGTAATGCCTCTTGTCAGAGTAACGTAAACATTCAGTTTGTCAAATGGATTATCTTTAGCAATCCATGAACTATCACGTGGGTTGGGAATCTCAAGAAACAGTTTGTCAAAGTTGTTTTTATGAGGTCATCTAAAAATGTAGACGCTTTTGTTAATATTTCAGGATACTACTGAATTTCAAGGATTATGGGTGTGAAACAACTATGCAGACACCAAGGTCAGTGAAGGGCAGAGGAAAAAGAGGAAGAGTTTGATCAAGAAGCCAGTCCTTTGGCAAAGAAATGTGAGGAAGGAGCGAGAGAAATCGGACATGAAGCAGAAACTACCCGGTCCCTGACCTCATCAGAACTTGGAGACATGCGGAAAGATGACAGCTGCCAGCCAGGTGAGCAGATTGCTGCCTGGCTGCTCCGAAGCTGGGGTAACAGGGCCAACAGTCAGCAATTGGGAGGTAAGGAAGTGCAACAGTGGGGATCCCTTGCTAGAAACCAGGGAATTGAGAGAGGAATTGGAAAAGAGGCAGTGATTTGCAGTCTCTGGAGATGGTGCCTCTGAAGTGTGAGGCCAAGATACATGTTTAAGGAAGATCTTGTGAACTACCCAGGAAAGCGGACAACCGTGGATGAAGGCATCCACTACCTGAGAGAATTAGTGGTACTCTAAGTCATCTACAGTGATCTAGACAATGATGAGGTCTTCAGAGATCCAGAGGAAGTCCTGTGCACACAGGCCACGTGGAGGAAGGTGATTCAAAATGCCCATATTCTCCACCAAGTTCTATCCATGGCACAGGGAGAAAAGACCTTCCATAACCATTAGGAAATTAAATTAAACTAATTTCCCCAAGTCGAGTCTGTTTAGCCTATGATGGTAATTGGTGAGTGATCTCTCCCTGTCCTTATCTCGACCCACGAGCCTTTTGTTGTATTTTCTCTCCCCTGTCCAGCTGAGGAGTGGGAGTGATGGAGCAGCTTTGCTGGGCACCTGGCCTCCAGCCAGGGTCAACCCACCACGTTATGGAAGAAATACTTGAAGAATAGAAGTGATCTTCACAATCTATCCATTTCTTGATGTAGAGGGCAACGCCTCCTTTGTCACCTGTCCCTTCTGAACAGCCTGTAGCCATCGATAGCCGCAGTCCTGTCATGGGATTTGTACCACCAAGTTTCAGGAATGGCAACCAGGTCATAGCTTTCTAGGACAGTGGCTTCCAACTCCTCCTGTTGGTTGCCCATGCTGCGTGCATTAGTGTAGAGACACTTCAGCTGGGCTGTGGGCCATGTCACCTTTTTACAGGAACACACCCTTAATTCCTTTGAGGTATTTCACCTGTGTTCCCCCATTTGCTCTGATTACCTCAGGAGCCCCTGGCTCATCTCCTTAAGACTTCAGGTGTGCTGCAGTGTACCCAGCAAGTCTCAGAGGAACAGGCTGAGGGCCCTTGCTAGCACTTCATCCCTCTAACCTTGGCGTGTCGTCCCTTGGTTTGTCATGGGTGAGCCTGATATTATCCCCCTCCTCCTTCAAGTCCAGTTTAAAGTTCTGTCAATGAGCCCCACTAGCTCCTGAGCAAAGACCCTCCTCCCCCTTTGAGAAGGATGAATCCTATCCAATGCCAGCAGGCCTGGTGCCATGTAGACCATTCCATTATTGAAAAACAGTAATGGGTAATAGTCCGAGGGCTGTACCAGGCTGGGAAGTTTCCTAGTGATGCCCTTAACCCAGGCCCCAGGGAGGCAGCAGACTTACCTAAGAGGAGGGTCTGTCCGGCATATTGGACCGTCTGTTCCCCTCAGAAGGGAGTCACCTACAACTATAACCCGTCTTTTCTTCCTCATGGAAGTGGTCGTGATATGGGGGTTAGACCTGTCTGACCTTGGCGACACCTCTGGTGCAGATGGACCATCATCCACATCATCCACTGACTGGCCTTCCACATCCAGAGCCTCATACCGGTTGTACGAGGCACCTGGGGAGGCGAGGTGGGCAAGGAGGGGGTTCGCCTGCTGCCCCGAGCATGGACTTGCCTCCACTGACTCCTTTCCTTTAAGCTACTGCCTTCTGCCTGGCGGGGGGAGGACAGAGGATCCCTTTGATGTTGTTTTTTTTCTGGTGGTTGTTCCTGTTTCTGTCTTGGGAAGGGCAGAGCATGGTTCCACCAGCCTCTCTCTTTCGACTCCCTGATGCTCCTTAACCTTTGTACTTCCTCCCGTAGCTCTGCCACCAGGCTGAGCAGATCGTCCAGTTGGTGACACCTCACGCAGCTGCTCTCGCTACTGCCATCCGTTACCAGTGAAAGGCTCCGGCAGGCCCTGCAGCCTGAGGCCTGGACGGCTGCACGCTTTTGTGGGAGCTCTGTCCGGGTTGCCACATCCATTCTGGTGAGCGAGGAGGACGTGGCTCTCAGCCGGGTGGAATCCCACAGCAAAGCTCCTCCAGGGAGGGCCACGGCCGCCGGCTGAACGCCCCTCTGGAGCCGCTGGGGGTGACGATGCCCTTCCCGCGCAAACTGCGGCGCCACGCGCGGGCGGGGGGGGGGAGGGGTGGTGGCGGTTGCTGTGGCAACGCCCAGGTCTCGCGAGAGCTGCCGGCGCTTGGCGGGTCTCGCCGCTGCCTCGGCGCTTCCCTGCCTGAGGGACCCCCCCCCCCCGCCGGGACCTGCCGCTCCGCTGCGGGCCGTTCTGTGGTGCTGTCATCTAGGATTTCTGTAAACTTTAGGTAATTAAGGTCTCAGCTTTCCATGTGTATGATGGATATGTCTTCTCTAGATATGAGATACGTAATTATCTTAAATGGGTGGCAGGACAATACCGACGTTTTAGAAAACACAGATACTAAATAGGCTGTTCTGCTGTTGAAAGTCATTAGCAGCGGTGGTTGCTTTTTTTTGTTAACGTAAAATACATTAGTCTTGTTTAACTATTGCAAAGTGAAGTAATGCTGAGTAGAAAATAACGTGTGCTGGTGCCCCTCACAAAGTTAGTGCTTTTGAACTCCTTGACACATTTCAAAACGTAGGGTAAGATGGAATCTTTGCTTGTAGTTCCAAGTACAGGACAAAACATAGCCTTACCAGTTCAGAAGGAGCTCAGAAAGAAATTATGACTCAGAGACGGTCCTCTGAATCATACTTCCCCTGAGCTGTAGCATTGCACAAGTGGGGAGTGTGCGATCAGCCCTTTGCCAGAGGAAGCAAATTCCCTCTCCCATGTCCAGTCAGCTCCCTTTGCTGATACAGAAGGCAGCAAAATGACGATTGTGTTTACTTCCGACCCAATTTCCCCCAACTTCTCCACTTACTCATGGAAGGAGATGATGTCTCTTCGAGGTTTGCTCATTAATACAGTTTCTGAAAACTTAATATAGTTTTCAGGAAGGATGGCGTGATGGCACAGCAGAATGCAAGAACGCCTTACAACTTCCACACGGAACTTTATGGCCATCAGATGCCTGGTGTATTAAGTATGTTTTACTGCTCATTTTTAGGTAGGTGGGACACTGTACTCGTCGGGTCTGAAACTAATGCTTGTTCCTTGAGCACTCACTTTTCATCCTATAGGAAGCAAATCTGTCGCAGTGAGCGAATATATCAGCAACACCTACATAGCTTGCAAAGTACTGTTTGAGTTTGATTCCAGGCAGATTTGGCAAGACTAATGATCACCAAGTAAAACACCATTAAACAAATCTGAGTTCTTGGTAATTTTTTTCAGAAAAGAAACCGTACTCACATGCAAACCAACAAAAATAAGTATTTCCTGTGTTTTAAATTTAAGAATTTAAGAACAGTGTAAGCAAATAATCAGCTGATCAGCTAATTAAGCTCTGCAGTGACTTATAACAGATTCAGCCAGCAGATTTTACAGATGAACAGTGATTTATCTGTAAATAATTGAAATTAAAGTATTCATTTGTTAGTATTAGATCAGCTAGCAATGCAAAGGTCCATTGTTCGTAATGGCTAAAGAGGTTAATGATTCTGGTAACCTACTAGGAATCAAGCATTTAGAATTCTAATTTGGTAGGAACAGTAATTCTATGTGAAGCCTGACATTGAATAGTTGGGGGTTTTTTCCTGGTTGATGAAGGAGGAAAATCTAAAGTAGATAGGATAGCATATGTTGAAATTGGTCATTTCAATGATAGACATCTATACATTTATAGTGAAATTTTAAGAAAATTTTACCTGAACCATGCACTTAAGGGACAAATTATGCACCTATCAATATAGGAGGAAATGCATGAGGAAATATCAATTTGTTCAGTTTAGCCTGTAGGACTGCTTGGGTAAGTGGCTGCTCACCAACACAAATATAGATTGTGCAATCTAATTTTAAGCACGCAACTTGAAATTCCATTCTGTATGATCCTTACACCTACGTTTGTTCTTCAGAAAGAGCATTCACAGATTCACAAGTAGTTTTCACAACAACTAAACATTTTTACAAAAGAAAATAGGTTATAATAAAGCCAGGAAAAAAATTATGTTGCAATAAATTGAAACAACAGGAGATTGTTACTGAGTATTTGCTCTGTGTCCTGATACTCAATTGTCTGGGCTGTTCTGTTATTCTTGTTAGTCTTTTATGCTTGTCAAGCTTTATTTTCCATCACTTTACAAAAACTGAAGAATAGACTGAGAAATAAATGATCATAATTATAAAAAATATGATGTGCCTGTGTTTTTTAGGAACGTAGCAGTCATTCTGACAGATACGCCCTTATAGTGTAGAAGGTAAAACTGGTAAACCTGATCTAGACTGTCTCTATGACTGGCATACCCTGTGGCCAGTGAACAAGTGTTAGTCTGCTTCCATGGTATTATTCACAGTTTTATGGAGTTCTGAGAAGAGGCGTTATCTATAGTGCCTTTTTAGGTAACAGTGACATCATTTGTATGAATTGTTTTATATTGTACTTATTTTTAATATATCGGAGTAGATGAACTCAGCACTTCTTGGTACTGATGCATCTCAGAGAATAGGGTAATTTTCCCCTGTACCCATGGCTTGATGTGAGTGACAGTAGGGGAGAGGAAAGAGTCTGCGTAAATGTGTTGTATCAGTGCAAAATCAATCACTTAATGCCTTTCAGGGCTTCCCTTGCTACTGTGCTTTCGGTAATAGAATTTTCTGTTACTTAGTACTGTTGGCAGTTCAGTGTTATTTCTGTGTATTTGTACAATATGCAGCATAATGACCTTCACAATATGAAGAATAAATAATAATAGAGGGGCAGTGAGTCTCTAAATTATATTTCATACTAGATTAGAACAGGCTTACCTCTCTTTTTTAATAAAGGCATTTGATATATTTTGAAATAAAGTATTTCTTCATTTTTTTGAATAAAAACACCTCCAAAATTTATATCCTAAAACTCCTGAAGATAAAATGTACAAGGTATGCATTTGTATCACTGCATTTCATAGCAATGTATTTCACATCTCCAGGCAGTTTATAAAGGAGTAGTGCTCAGAAGATTTCAAAATCTTGCCTAACATTCTGCTGTTGCTTCTTAAATCAGATTCTGAAGTGTTCGTTCGTCAATTACTTTTGAATCTTGCAAAGTGAACCTGGCACTGGATGCTAATCCCTTCAACATAAAAGCATTGTATGATGTAATAAAACTGTATTTCATACAGTCTTACAAATAAATTATGTCCCAAGTAAGTTTATAGAATTCATTACTATTTTTGTTTGTCATTTGGATGGGTAGTTACAGAACAAAATCAAGGGTATACATGTAGATGACATAAATAAGTTTAAAGAATGAACATATGCAACAGATAATACCCCATGTTT